GCACTAAATATAAATGTTGTATTTCTCCTATTTCCTTCCCCCATACATTCACGAGCTTCACTTCTCAAAATCTTATAAATATGTCTTCCAACAATAGTTATGAGATTCTGGATTTAAGGTTAAATGCTTGAGAAACAGGATTTAAGAAACTAAAGGATTTATAAACATCTGATTTACTGTTTCGTAAGATTTAGGTTAAATCCTGCTCAAATTCTATAGTATTTAAGTAAAATCCATTAATATTTAAGAACCTAAAATATTGGGAAATATCTTTTTTTTTGGAAGGATTTAGGTTAATTATTGTAGCATTTAAGAACATAAAGGATTTAAAGATGTTTTTTTTTTATTTAAGAACATAATCTGTACACGATTTAAGAATATATATCACTTAAAGATGTCACTTTTGCAGTTTGGCATGGTTTAAGTTAAATCCAACTCAATTTCTATAGGATCTAGGTTAAATCCCATAGTATATAAGAACATGTAGGATTTCAAGATGTCATTTTTCTATTAGATGTATAAATACATAAGAATATTTTGATATGTATGTAAATTTCTCACATTTATATTGAGATAGATGGATAAAATTAATCACTTTATTTATTTGTATATAATATTACAAATGCTCAAACCTGCCTTATATATTAAAATTTTCAATATGATAATACTAGGGGGAGTCCAATATTACGAGCTAATGAGTCTAGCCATGGTTGGCTTGCGTTTGGCCAATTAGCTCATCAAGTCATAAGCCACTTATCAAACCGAGAATGAGCTAGACCATGAGTTAGTTTGGCTCAGCTACACCTATAGTGATGTGAAAGAATTAGGTGTTACTTATGTATTTACCTAACAAGGATCACAATTTCAATTATTACATGCATACCTATGTAACCTACGTATCAAAATATTTATTTTTAACTAATGAGGTGAATGTGTTTGCCCTAAAATGTATAAGTTATTTCTGGATATTCAAAACATAAAATCATGCACATATAATAAGTTACATTCGAGTTGAAAGTAATTATCCAATGAATTCATAATTGGTATTAACTCTTTAATGCAAGTGACATCATAGCTTCCTACTTACCAAACATAGTTAATTCTGGAAGATGTGAAGTTGGACTTATTCCGCAAGAGATTTTTAATCAAATTACTAGTTCTAAACCTTACATGGTGAGCTTGACCACTATATTAATTATCAAGCGAGAGCTTCAATGAGCTATGCTCCTCTAAGTGAGTGTAATTCTAAAATAATTGAACAAATGGTGTTTGATGCTACAAGAGCTCAATTTTTAGACAAATGGATGTTGGCCTCAATTTTGATGAGGTCTGTTTTCCTCTCTAGAATCTAGGATCTAGTCATGGGACTTCCCTACTGACTTTTTTAAAATACTAGTATCGGGACCCATACCACTTAGAAATCTCAGCCACTTCTTGACTCCTTGAAGTCACGTATGTGTGGTTTCAAATCCTCAACATTCAATGAAGTTGATTGTAACCAACATTTTGAAGAGCAAATTGAGTTTCTATAAGGATTGGAGAAGCTCTAGGAAGATCTCTTGAACTTAAGAGGATTCAATCTGAAGATTAATTCTCACCCACATACAAAACACACATATACATCACGATTCACATACAATTCACAAATCAAAATCCAAGAGGAATTTAAAATAAAATGGAGGTTCTCGGGACACGACTTTAAGGTCTTTTGCATGGGTTGAATGACTCATTGTCAAGAGCATTTTGCTAGACCTTAGTCATCGCTTATGTGAAGGCTGGCAGGTATTTCACTTTTCGAATGACTCCAATAAAAAAGATGAATGTTCCATGTCGCGCGGCACCCTAATTGAACTCAAATTGACCCGATTGTCGATGAACTTATCTGGACAACCCCAAAAGATGAAACATCTACTCAAGTGATTCCAGAATGTCGATTTTACTCGGGGAGGACACCTATTTTGCTACAAATTCACATACAAGCAAACTGCACAAAAATCGATGCATATATCTTAAAATCTAAAAGAAAAGGGGAAACTTTTAGTTAGAAAAAAAAAAAAAAAGCCCTAACCCACTCACGACATTCCCTCATCCGCTCCTTCTCCTTCGTTAACCTCCTATGATCTTTGCCCGACACCCTCTGCTTGAAATTCTTCTTCCTGAAGCCTGCGCCTACTTCATCTCTCAGGACAACAGGCCTCCGTAGTCCTCCACTTCCTACTTTGTTAAGTAATGACCCTTTAACCTTGTTTCCCTGAAGCATGTGGTTGGCTAAGCCTCCTCCTTCCCGATGTCCTCGACCACCCGAGCTAAGCCTCCGTAGTCCTCCACTTCCACTTCCTTACTCGACTAAACTTCCCCTTCTTCTGCAATCGATGGTGAAAATGTCTGGGATGATCCTTCCCATGTCCTCGCTATTCCCTCCTATTCCTCTCGGGTGGCACGATAAAACTAGGGGGCACTCCCCCATTCTTGATCACAATCCCTTCCACGGTAAGCTTTCGATTATCCTTTTTTCCTCCTCCTTGACAGAAGCTAAGTATCCTTAAGGAACAAAATTCTTGAGCAAGGTGATTCCTCCCTTATCTTCTTCTTCATTGCCTGCTCCACTTTCACTACATTGTGTTGGGCTATTCCTATTTGTTTCTGTTTTTCAAGTGAGAATAAAAGTTCAAGCTCATTCACTTGCTTTACGCGGATTATTATTATGCTCTCTTTGGACTTCTTTCAGCGTAGTTGACAAGTATGTGTGTATTCTCATTGGTTCTTTGATGATTACGAAAGCACATATGAATTTGAATGCAATGATCAATTGGAAAAAGTTTAATATTATGTTTTGGTTCAATTCCTGTCAAGATTTGATATCTTATTTTCCTTCTGAAATTCTAAAGAATGGTTTAGTAGCGTGCTTTGTTAAAAAAAAAAAAGAAAGAAGAGAAAGCTATTCCTATTCATACCATTAAAGTATTGCTTTTATATGCTTGAACTTTCATATGAAAGCATTTGGGAGATCCAACTATACCATTTTGTTTCTCAACGCTGCTGGTTTTTCCAAATCTTTCTCAAATTCTGCTATCAAACAACCGTAAACTTATTAAATGCTACAGAAATTCAGCCACTAAACAACCTCTTTAACACCACCCAGAACATATATCAGATCAGCCATGAAGCAGCTCTTGAATCCATTTGAAAATTTGTTGGAATTCTATTGCTAGAAAGCTTATAGAAAGCCTTAAAACTTGTTGACACCTTGCTGAAATGCTTCACAAATCCTGCTCGAATCATGTACTGAAACTCAATGAAACCCCACTTTTAATTTCTGGTGTTAAGATTCAACATTTCTACGTTTCATTATTACTAATTGACAAAATTTCTTTTAGATGTGAGGATCATGCTTCAGACTTATGTGATGGCAAATAATGTTGATGCGGTGTTATCAGTTGTAGAATTAGAAATTGTGTTTTGGAGCTTTATTTAGTCACGAAACCAAATAAAATTGTGCATAAGAAGTGAAATGGTAAGATTGTTGAGATGCTGATTACAGGGTCGTTCTGTTTGCTAATTTGTTTGGTATGAATTTTTATTTCTCTTACAACAAAAAATTCATTCTACATTTTCCTGTTTAAAGTTAAATTATTTCATGTTTTAAAGGCTTTTAAAAATACCTTACTTAGCATTCCTTTCATTTGCTTAGTCACGTTATAGAGGCTTTTGAAAAGGAAACCCCATAGTTCATGTTATAAAGGCTTTCCTTTCATTTGCTTATTCACGTTATAGAGGCTTTTGAAAAGGAAACCCCATACATTTTTCTTTGTCATCAAGAAAGATTTACATGAACACCACTTAATTCTTATGAATTTACATATGTACCATCATACACATACATGAAAAGGGGAAATTTAAATGTATAGCACACAACTTTACACATTTACATATTTGAAACCTAAACCATACGTGTATATGTTCAGATCTTTCTTAATCTATACTTCTATGCAGTTTTCAAATGTACGAGCGCACACGTATTTTTTATTTAAGTAGTTAACCATGTAATATCTAAATCTCACATGAAGATTTGCTAATTTATTTTGATCATGATGTATTCAGAAATTGTAATACCTGAATTCCAAATGAAGGCTTGATTATTTTCATGTTTCCAATGCATTCACATGCATAATATATATTTCAAAATAAATGTGTCAGATTTTGAAATTTATACATATGTATGACACCCAAATTTCCGAATAAGTATACAGATATTCAGAGCTTTATGTATTCTACATGTGTAGAGTTCAGATTCTACGTATAAGTATGCTGATTCGCACACGCTTTATTCAATTTTTATGTTTTTTACGCCCAATTTTTAACTTTTACATTCCTACCACACGGTTCTTACGCATCTACATTCCTAACACCCGAAGCTTGATATTTACATTCATAGCACCTTGGTAGCATAAAATTGTGCATGAAGCGTGAATCACTTTTCTAGAAAAAAGGGGATAATTGACGAGATTTTGATGCGTTATTAAAGAGTTGTCTGATGGGCAGATATAAATTGTTTTTTGTGTTTACATATATGTGGCTTTCATGTCGTCCTTGAGGACTTACCATTTACAAAATTCAGAACGAGAAAACTCTGCTTAGGAAGATGCATCATAGCATTGCATCAGTGGCATTGACAATGGTTTGAAATCATAGTCACAAAATCTCAAGTAGGAATCAATTTGAAGGGAAAAATAAATGAAACAAGGAAATACTTTATTTTCTTAATAATATAAGCACTTTGACAGCAGCAATTACCGTAAGTAGACCAAGGAAGAAGTTGCCTTTAACTGAAGTGATTAATGGAAAGTTTTCTCCACCTTTGTTGTAAGCTTATTCCGTGTCATCCAGCAGAAATTTTAGTAGCTTTTGCTATACAAATTCTCTGTCGTTGCCATAGAAAATATAGTGATAATCTATGAAATCTGTATGCAAACAATATCTAACCTATAATGTTCCTAAAGCTGTACCTCCTTGTTAAGCTTTTAATCTCTTACCCTAATCCATTTTTTGAGCATTTTTTATTACTGGCATGGAGACTGATACTTCATGTTCTACTTGTTTCTTGCTAAGATTATTTACATACACACCACCCAATTCTTTTGTGTTTACATATCTCAACTTCAGTTTTTACATATGTATGTGTCTTACAAATGCATGAAAGGTGTATTTCACTTTTTTTTTATAATTAAAATGGTGGGTTTTTTTTTTTTTTTGTGAAGTGAAAGATTTAGAGAATCATTTGACTCGTTTCCCTTGCTGGAGGTTAGGAATCGGAAAGGAGTGTGCTTCTCGGAAGCTCCTGTCTTGGATCCAAAGCCACTTCGCCTACTCCTATCTCAACAGTCATTTTTGGAGAAGGGGCAATTGTGATGACTACGCAAGTTCCATTGCTAAAATTCATCCTGTTCCAAACCCCGATGAAGGAGATAGCTCAGGGCAAGTCTTCCGTTCCAGCTGAAAATCTGATACAGGTAACGTTAGGGCAGGCTGCCCGATGTGATGCTGTTGTGCTAGAAGCATTCCCATTCCATACTTGGATGAAGGGGGTGCTTCAAGCTTTGCTACTCCACTCATTCGGCCACTTGAGTTGGCTGCTGATCTTGAGGTTCGAGTGTTGGTGGATGATTTGTTGGGAAAGATTGTGCACTCCCTTCAAGTACCACACAAGTTAATTTTGCAATCTTGCTTGCCATCCTAAAGTGAAGTTCTTGAATTTTTTGTTGCACAAATTTTCAGATGAACTCTACATTAGAGGCCTCTCCTTGTTATGTTCATTCACCTTAATGTTCTCCTCATTTTTGTTGAAGGCATGGCTCTGTGCTCACCATGCTTTTTATGATGTTGAAAAAGTTCTAACAGTTGAATCCCAATTTGTTCTGTGGATCACACCCAAGGACTACAGTGTTAGTTGAGTGAGAGGAGAAAGGGTAGGAGAATAGTAAGCTCAAGTAACACTAAATTTTTTGTGGAAATATTAAATCATCCCTATTTTTGTGAAAATGATCCTCATCCCTATTTTTGTGAAAATGATCCTCATCCCTATTTTTATTTTTGTGAAAATGATCCTCTCATCCCTATTTTTGTGAAAATGATCCTCTTATTTATATGGCATAGGAAGGGTATGGTAAATTACACGATTTTCCCCATTTAATAAAGACATTATAGTTATTTATGAATCATTACACCTTTACTTATTTGTAATTGATATAAAAATTTGACTTTGTAAGCACTATCTGGGCCATTTCATGTTTGTTACTATACGTTAATTCACGTTTGTAACTGTCTGGTATGATCAACTTAGATTAATTTGGTAGGTCAAGAGTATCAATCGTCCGAAAAATTTTGGTAACCTCTTCCAAAGTTCATTGTAAGGGCTCATCGTCTTCGTTAAGGATTATTTCGTTAGATGGTAGGTATTTACTGTAGTCTAACGGGTAGACTTCATTCGGTTGATGAGTCAAAGAAAAAGGAATTCTCTTGAACAGTTATTAATCTTTGTCAGCCAATCATCAATGTATGCGCACGACATTCTCTGGTTCGATCAATGCTTTGTTCGATCAGCCTAAGACTTGGACGATTGGTGTGATGATGAAATATTGTGCTTCTACTGCTTTCTTCATGGTAAATTTAGGATCCCCTCTCTGGTTCGATCAATGTTTTATTCGATCAGCCTAAAACTTGGACGATTGGTGTGATGATGAATGTTGTCCTTCTACTGCTTTCTTCATGGTAAATTTAGGATCCCCTCGAGATTCATGCAACCACATTAACGATGTACAGGGATGATCATGGGTCTAATCCAAATTTGGATCTTTGTTATAATAATAATTGGATTTCATACCCAACAGAATTATAGTTACCGTTTAAGTCAAGTAAATTAATTTGATATAATAATTCTTTAGAAATCTGTAATTGAGAAGAAGGGATAGTTATAGACTTAATAAATGCTTCATTTTACCTTAGTAGATATAAGAAGACTTAATAAATGCTTCATTTTACCTTAGTAGATAGTGCTAGAGATATAGAATAATAATTGAAAAAATATATCAGTGTTCTAAAGTTCATTTTTGATTGCTTAGGCTTGATCCACAAATGTAAATGCTAATCTCAAATAGTGTAAGAAAAATTATTATAGGACAAAAAAATTAAAATATGTAATATTTATTACATTAAGACACATTATAATGTAGAGTTGAAGAAAATAGTGAACAAAATATGGTAACAAACACTTCAAATGTGCAAGCTGTTGAGGGTGATCAAAGTGAAGACAGCAGTTATGTTAATTAATTTGTCTGAGGTGATATCTAAAAGCAAACAGTTATTGATTGAGATGAAGCCTCAGAACAAGCCGAGCATCACCTGATTACCTTATTCTATCGGTTGCATACATAATAATAGACATGGGGCTTGGTCTGCTGATAAATTGGTAGAGGGTCTTCTCAAAATGGAGGACTCGAGTTTGACTCCGAATACATTCAGAGTCATGATGTAATATTTTTAGCCTTTGGGAGTGAGTAGAGAGAAATTTGGTAAGGGGAACGGGAGTTGAGATGTCAATTTGTAGCACTTATTTTTAGAATAATGACACTTCTATAATGAAAATCTTTTGAATATGTAGAAGTGTAGTGGCTGTAAATTAATGCGTTTATCTTTTAAATGTCAGATGAAAACATTATTCAAAAATTAAACAATTGTATAAAAGACTAAAATGTAACAAAATATTTAATTTTATAAAATTTGCATTTGTTTCAATATAATACGATATTTAGAAAAAAAAATGATAATTCTTTGTTATAAATTCTATAAAAATAAAGCGAAACGTCTTTTACATGCTCAAACACAATCCTCATGTTGTTTATTGACAATAAGATAATCAGAGGAGACATAAATATCATGAAATTCTTATGCATAATCTGTTAAAAATTCTTTGAAAACTTCCGTAAGGCCAGCTTCTCTTGGCACCAATTCTTCTACTTTTCAATAAAAAAAATACCAATTCTCTTTATTTTTCTATTTAATTCGATGATAAAATATTTGACAAAAATAATGAGACTTCAAGCATCGAAATTAACGAATAAAATAGCCTCTTCTTTAGAAGAAAATAGATTGACTTATTAACCTTTTTCGCTGGTCTCTTGTTTTTATTGTTTTGTTGATATTAAGAGCCAGCTAAGATTGACTAATTACTCACGAGCGCACCAAAAAATCAATAAAAAAAATGCTTTTGTCTTATCACTACAAAAGCTCATAACAAGTCCTACTCCAAGTAGGTTCTTTCGTCGCCATCCTTTAAAAACAGGGGCGCTCTTTAAACTTCCAATTCTATCTTGGAAAATTTCTTAAAAAAATAAAAAATAAGAAAAGTAAAAGAAAATTTTAATATGCAAAACATGAAGCCTGAGAAATGACAAAAGCAATAATTGTAAAATTCAAAAGTGTCCGGGAAACATACCAAGGAATAGAACTTTTTGCTAGGAAGTGATGAGGGAGAGAGAGAACAGTCGGGAACAGCAAGAGTGTCATTTATTCATCACATGGACCCCTATTTATAGACATAGTTTCCAGCATTAGAAAAGTAAATATTGGCCCAATCATTATTAATTTTTCAAGGGAAATTTTAGGTAATTACAAAGTTATTTGCAAATAATAAGACCGGGAACTGCTTCGATCGATGAGAGTTGTCAATCGTCTAGTAAAGTATGACTCAATCAATATCTAATTTGAAAGAGAGCCACTCGTCTATCGTCTTAAGGACTTAACCCCGCCCTACGGAACATCTCCTAGCATGTTCCACCGATCAATCCGACAATACACATTCCTTGTCAATATCTAGTACAAGACGGTCATCAACAGCTATGCTCGATCGTCAGTGTCATCCTCCTGAACCATTTTAATTGCCTTAAGATTCATGCTGACATATTTTTATATGTATATATTTAGTTCACAGATTCTCTAACTACTTGGAAGTTCTACTGTACAGGAGGATAAGAGAATTTTTAAGATGTATAAAATAATTAAATAACATTATTATGCAAGAAAGGACTTCCCTGGAATTCCTTACCCAGACAATTATAAATAGTTCTTTGGACTCAACCTCAATCGCAAAAGGGTGGCTTTTCCTCTTGAGTGGAGGACTAGAGGAGATTGGTGATGACTCTTCACTTACACCACTTCTGAATGGTGTCAAATTTTGGCTATGTAGTTTGTATCATGCTTTCAGGATTGCTTTTGCAGTTTCAAGAGCTCTAACGATTGCTTCTACTTCCTTAAACACTGGCACCGACCTTGAGGACGCTGTGGCATCTATGGATCAGACCAGGGAGAGGGAAATGAATACTAAGGAGCAGATTGCTTTGGAACAAGGGACCATGGAGCAAGGCACTGTGGAGCTGGGCGTTGTGGCTCGGAGGATAGGGTAGAATCCTCCCTCGGGTGGAGGCAGGACTGTGGGTAGACAAAATCCTTTAAGTGCGGCAGTGGTGGGCGTCGAGTGTATGACGAATTTTTGGTGCGCTGCTTTGCTGAAATTGATGAGCACTTTCTTCATCTCATAGTACAAACTCGGATGGATACCGATGATTGACTTACAGAACTTTTGATTCTCTTTATAGCAGAAGTGAGGGATATTCAGAGCCTCTATATTTTTAACCCTATTATTCACCTTCGGTCTGCCATCATCCATGAGCGGGCGACAGGCCATTTCTCTCAGGATTTGATTTTTAATAAAGATCAGCTTAAAATGGATCTTCAGTTGCCACTTTGTAAGGAAATTCGATCAATTTTGGGATGGCATGGGATTACTCTTTCCTCTTTCCCAAGTTCTTTCCAACTTTTGGCCTCCATGATGATTTTTGTCCTCTTATATCGATAGATAAAGAACCCTTGGTCGCTCGAAATTTTCAACCATTTCTTATCCTTTTGAATCAGCTGGAGTGATTATATTCAGTTGGCCACCAATTCCAAGATTCATCTAGTGGGTCTTGAGAATAAGATAAAAGATTGGAAAGAGAAATTCTTGGTGGGCTCTTGCGCTAGTGGTTGGGGTATCAGCACTTTTCCAATGGAAAATGAGGTGAGGAATGTGACGATACTTTGTGTAATCTTAGGAATCATAAGGCGATAATTGAGAGTCAGCATCTCTCATTATTTCAGTATTTTGATTTGGACGTGATAGGGTGTATGCTTCGACCCCATTGCGGCGAGACCACGACTGAAGGTTTATTGGTGTCATTTGATGCCCAGAAAATGGCTAGAGAGAAGGCCATAGAAAAGAGAGCGGCTTCAAAGAAACATCAGGCGAATAATGATCATTCCTCGTCTGGGAGAGATGAGGGTTAGCCTGTCCCCACTGGACTGACAAAAGAAGATACTAAAGGTAAGCAGATTTTCCTCTTTTTAGCTGCTTGTATATATGAGTTTTTGTTTATATTATTTTGGTGTTATTTGAAAAGTGTCAAGGATGTTCTCGAGACTCGTGGTGCATCAAATTTTGGGATTTCAGCCACAAATCCTGTTGAGACTTCGTCTGTGGGTGAGCCACTCTTCT